CCACAGGACACTGGCAACTTTCCTCATGGTATGAGTTTACAGAGTCCCTCACTGCTCACTTCCATGAGGTGGCTGAACTAGCCATCAAGAAGCAGCAGTGGAAGAAGCTCCATCAATTCGACTTCAGAATGGTGATAGAATTCTTCTTGAAGTTCAAAGAGATGGCCCATGAGTGCGAGGAATTCGAGGATGAGAAGCAGATGTTCGAGACTGTAGAAGCGGCGATGAGACCAATGGTGCAAGACACCATTATGCATGGAGATAACACTCACCCAACCACATATGCAGAATGGAAGTGGCGAATCGAGAGGATCAACACCAACTATTGATATGGACTCATGCAGAAGAGTGCCAATAAGCCCTCCTTGAACCAAAGCGGTGGTTCAGGTTGAGGCAATCAAAACACGTCATCCGGAAAAGCCAGCAGCTCGGGGAGTTCCAGTGACAAGAATGACACTACAGGAGTCACGTATGGTGGAGCAGGGCAGCCAATGGAAATTGACAAGCTGCGGAGTGAGAAGCGGTGCTTCAAGTGCAGCAATACCGGGTGGAGCCGGGATCATAAATGCCCAGAGGACAAATCGAAATGGGTCCCCATCAAATTGCCCCCACGAAGGAAGATACCTGCACAACGACTCTGCCAATTACTCATCGAAGCCAAGAAAGAGGAGTTAGGGAAGGACATGAAGGTCGAAGAAGTAAAGGAGGATAAGGACAAGGCATCAAAAGACAAGCCGGCGTTGCACTAAGTGATTCCACAACATCGGCTAAGGACTTAGTTTCTAATGGTACGAGCTCTCCTATCACTGGTCAGACTTATACTACATATGTAGGTACTCCATATGAACAATATATCAATTCTTTTGCACTGCTCAGTACCGAAAAAACAAAGGAAGAAGAATCGCAAACTGCTAATGGCGTAGAAGGGGATTCCTGCCACTCCGCATACACTGCACCCAGCAATGAACCCCTAGGGGCAGTCCCATGGACACCCCCATCTGGTGCTATGGGGAAAGTTCCTGAAATAGAGGAGAGGCCCCCTCACCAGAAGAAGACTGGGCCCAGTCGCCCTGATGGAAAAGAATGGATAATGGCCAGAGGAAAAGCAGCTGAGGCTGGGATCGAAGGGGATCCCTCCCATCTAGTAGCCTCGGGAATGCAGAATGTGGCAGCAAACGATGCAGAGCCCCTGAGTGAGCCAATATGTGTGCCTCTCCAACGGATTTCCAGGAGTACCACCAGGTCCGAGGATAAGGATAGGATCGAACAGGGGGTTATAACGCCGCACACAACCGCCCATGGACGAAAGAGCTGAACAAGGGACAGAGAGTCCTCCCCTCGCACCTCGACGAATAGTGACCAAGTCCTGCTCCAGAGCCCTCCACAGCTTGGTGACCAACTGCCATCATGAGGATCAAGTAAGCACTTGTCAGTTACCATGGAGGAAGTCGCCGACAAGGAAGACCATTTATGATCTGACATTTCAATCACCCCACCTAAGGGGATGTCCCCTGTGACCCCTGCCAGACCTGAACTACCTCCCGAAACCATAAAAGCAGTTCTAGACACCTACTATGAATCCTTTGGCACGCATTGGACCTGATGGGCACTTCGGCTCGCTCCTAATGAGTCAGCCACCTTGGCCACCTTGAATGGTTGGATTCATTCACAAAGGTGTGGAGAAGTGACTCGGGAGTTATGCGAGGTGCTCAAGGAGCAACCGGAGACGGCGTCCGAAGCAAGGGACAAGTGGGAGTGGATGGAAGACCTTAAAAAACCACCCATGTATATAAGGGGAAGAAAGGGACAAAATGTATCCATTAATTTTCAACTGGAAACCTTGGACACAAAAGATACATATGCGCTGAAGGCCCTGGTGGACAGCAGGGCTACTGGAAGTTCCATCGATCGAACCTGGGCGAAAGAGCATGACCTCAACCTTAAAATGGCAGCATGCCCTACCCCAGTATACAATGCCAATGGAACTCACAATAAAGATGGTGACATCATCAAGTATGCCAAAGTATGTTTGCATATTGGGGACCACGTCAAGAGGATCAAACTAGCAGTGGTAGACCTTGGTACTACCCTGCTATTCTTGGGACACGATTGGTTGCAACAGCATAACCCCCTTATTGACTGGGGCACAGGTGCCGTAATCCTAGCACACTGCACTTGTCAAAGTGTGCCCTTTTCTCTTCCTGACATGGACCCCTCTGCCCGCTGGGATGAGTATGAAGAAGGAGACACCATCCTAGTCATAGACTTCAAAGAAGCTTTCCACATACGGGCCATGGGAACTAAAGCCAATGAACTGGCTGCCCAGGCTCACGCCAAGAAAACCATGAAAACCTTCAAAGAAGTGGTGCCAGAAGAGTATCGTGACTTCAAGGATGTCTTCGACAAGGAGAGTTTCGACGAACTCCCTCCATGGAAGCCATGAGACCATGCCATCAATTAATCCCCAACACAAACGCTAATTTAGACTGTAAAGTCTACCCTCTCAGCCCAATGGAACAGGAAGAACTAGACAAATTTCTCGATGAGCACCTGTCTTCCAGCCAAATCCAACCTTCCAAGTTCCTGATGGCCTCACCCTTCTTCATTAAGAAGAAAGATGGGAAGCTTCAACCAGTACAAGACTATCGAAAGCTGAACGAAATGACCATCAAGAATAGGTACCCATTGCCGCTAATCAGAGAGCTGATGGATAAGCTGAAGAAGGCCAAATACTTCACTAAGCTGGATGTGCAGTGGGGTTACAACAATGTCCGAATTAAACAGGGGGACAAGTGGAAGGCAGCATTTTGTACAAACCACAGCCTCTATGAACCCCTGGTGATGTTCTTTGGGCTCACCAATTCTCCGGCCACTTTCCAGTGGATGATGAATGACATCTTTAAAGACCTCATATCTGCTGGAGAGATCACTGTATATTTAGATGACATCCTCATCACCTCCAAAACCAAGACGGACCATAAACACATTGTACAGAAGGTACTAAAGATCTTAATGGAGAACAACCTGTTCCTCAAGGCTGAAAAATGCGAGTTCGAGGTAGAGGAAACTGAGTATCTGGGGGTAATCATCAGTGAAGGAAAAATCCGAATGGATCCCATGAAGGTTGCCAGGTTGCTGGAGTGGCCTATTCTCCGGAAAAAACAAGAACTGCAGTCCTTTCTTGGATTCTGCAATTTCTATCGACATTTTATCCATAACTATAGCAAGCACGTCAAACCCTTAACTTCCCTTATGGGAAAGGCAGAGTGGAAATGGGGAAGGCTCAATAAGAGGCTTTTGAAAAGCTCAAAGAGTTATTCAAAGAGGATGTGGTGTTGGCGATCCCACTTGACAAAGGGAAATTTTGAGTAGAGGTGGACTCTAGTGAAGGGGCCATTGGGGCAGTACTGTCCCAGCTGCAAGATGACAAATGGCACCCAGTGGCGTTTCTTTCCAAAGCCTTGTCTACCACCGAATGCAACTATGAAATTTATGACAAGGAGCTTCTGGCAATTATGATTGCGTTGGAAGAATGGCGCCACTACCTCATGGGGGCCCAAGAGGACTTCAAGATTTGGACTGATCACCCCAACCTCCAGTACTTCTGCAAACCCCAAAAACTCAATCAGAGACAAGCTCGATGGGTGACTGAACTGGCCGAGTATCAATTCATATTACACCACAAACCCAGAGCCCAAAACTGTAAGGCAGACCTCCTTTCTCATCAGGCAGACCATGACCAAGGGAAGAGCAATAACCAGGATATAACCGTCCTAAAAGCTGAGCATTTCCAAGTGTTGGTAATGCCCACTGCGGAAGAACTACACGAGAAGATCAAGCTAGCCACTCACGACCCCTGAAAGTGGAATCGAGAGGTCTCAGACTTCCTCAACCATGAGAAGGGAATTTCTTGTGACCAGGACTTACTGTGGTATGACGGACATATTTATATCCCTCTAGACAGGCGACTACGAGGCGAAATTATCGCCCTCAAGCATGATCACACCACAGCCGGGCACCTGGGGATAGAGAAGACCAAAGAACTCATACTTTGGGACTACTGGTGGCCCAAAATGCGGAGAGATGTAGAGACCTACGTAAAAGGATGTGAGACCTGCCAGCGGACTAAGGCAGACTGACAACCCAAGAAGGTGCTGCTCCACCCCAATGAGGTGCCGGAGCGCCCCTGGACCCATATTTCAGTGGACATGATCACCAAACTCCCAAACTCCAAGGGGTATGATTTGATCCTGGTCATTGTTGATCATTTTTCCAAAACCATAATCCCCATCACTTGCATGGAGGAACTCACCTCCCTTGGTTTTGCCCGGATTCTGTGGGACCACGTGTACATACCCTATGGTGTGCTACCAGAAAAGGTTATCTCAGACAGAGGCTTGGTGTTCATATCCAAGTTTATGAAGGAGTTCTACAAGTTGGTCCATATCAAAGGAAACCCCTCCACTGCATATCATCCTCAGATGGATGGGCAGATGGAGTGAGTTAACCAAGAGGTGGAAAAGTACCTAAAAATGTTCATCGATTATTGACAAGAGGATTGGAGTGAATGGTTGCCTTTGGCAGCCTTCACTCACAACAACCGTCTTCACTCAGTGACGGGATATTCCCCCTACAAAGTGGTGTTTGAAAGGGATGGGCAAACGATAACCATTGCAAAGACTGCAGGAACAGTGCTGGCAGTGACTGAGCTTGCAGGAGGGATACAGGAGGTACAGGAGAAAGCCAGAAGATCACTCGAGAAGGTGGCAGAATCGATGAAGAAGGCCTATGATAAGAAGAAGGCACCCACGATCGAATATGAACTGGGCAAAAAGGTGTGGCTGGATGCAACTAACCTACACCTCCCTTGACCAACCAAAAAACTAGGAGATTGATGGGTTGGACCATTCGTAATCCTCACCAAAAAGGGAGCCTCAGCCTATGAACTCAAGCTCCCCATGAGTTGGAAAATTCATAATTGATTCAATGAAACTCTTCTCATGCCTTATGTTGCTCTCAGTTTCCCCAATCAGCCACGACCTGAAAGACCCCTGCCAGAATTGATTGACGATGAAGAAGAGTATGAGATTGAAGAAATTGTCAAGCAGAGGGATAAGGTGGTTGGTCACGGACAGAATCATCAGACTATCACTGAATACCTGGTCAAGTGGAAGGGTTACCCAATGGAGGAAAACTCGTGGGTTAAACATTCAAACATGGCCAATGCTGAAGAACTGGTCAACGAGTATGAAGCCAGAATTCATGCATTACCATACACTCCCTCCTCCCCCTCAGAGTCAAACTCCGACAAAGTCCTAGCCCCAGTTATAAACGCCGATGGTTCAGACACGGGTCATGGAAACAGGGCTATTTCAACAACATCGTCCTTCCGAAAACTCGTAGTTGACATCTCAAAACAAATGGATAAAGCTCTACAGGAGGAAAATGAAAAGTGGTTATGGGAAAATAACGTACCCCCAGACAACTTCTGGAAGTACAAACCCCCAAAATCAGACCCTCGCTTTAACAATCCCAAAGTACGAGATTCTTACCTACATCATCATGCGAAAGAAATACAGGAATCCCACCATGAACAAAGACCCTACATCGACCCGCCAATTTTACTAGACCCTCCCTCCGAGGATGACAATTCCGATGTCAATCAACTCTAAGGTTTAATCTACCCAAATCGTACTCCATTCTACGTGACTATCTGTGCTCGCGACTGACTCTCATAATTAACTTTGACCTGCAAGAGTGTCGTCCACCAAAGTGCGAGTGGCGATCCTTGTTTGATCTAAGTTGATTCAAGTTGGTTGTTAACAAAACACCTCACAAAAGAACTGCACTCTTATGCTGATGGGTACACCCCAAATGGATAGAAGAAGTGACTGAGGACTTGGCAATACATCTGCAAGAAACCCTGGGAGAAGGGTATCAAGCAGAGGACGAGAAGCTGGAGTGAATGAACAACCTAACCAAACCTCCTCAGTATATTTGGGGAAGAAAGGGGAAGAATGTCACCATCAACCTCCAGCTGGAGACTTTTGACACTAGGGCCTATCATGTGGTGACAGCCCTGATCAACAGTGGCTGTACCAGGAGTGCCATCAATCAACAATGGATCCATGATTGAGGCATCACCATACAAAAAGCAGCACATGCCACTCTAGTGTATAATGTGGACAGAACCCAAAATAAAGGGGGTGACATTACCAAATATGCTGAGGTCTGACTCAAGATGGAGACCATAGTGAATGCATTGACTTAGCCATTGTAGATCTAGGAATGACCCCAATCTTCCTAGGACATGAATGTCTGCAAAGGCACAATCCCCTCATCAACTGGGAAACTGGATTGGTAACCTTGGCACACTGTGACTGTCACAAGATACCATTCCAACTTCCAGATAAAGACCCAGAACAACACTGGGGAACTGAAGTTGAAGATGGGGATACTATCCTTGTTATAGACTTTGAGGAAGCCTTTCACATATGGGCAGTGGGCCATAAAGCTAATGAGTTGGCTGCCAGGGCTAACAAAGGAAAGGAAGTAAAATCATTCAAAGAAATAGTCTCTGATCACTACCAGGACTTTATCAACATTTTTGCCAAAGAAAACTTCAATGAACTTTCTTCTCACAAACTCTGGGACCATACCATTGAGTTATTCCTGAATGCCAACACTAGTTTGGATTGCAAGGTATACCTCTTGAATCCCAAAGAACAGGAGGAATTGGATAAATTCCTTGATGAAAACTTGAAGACCAGTCAAATCTGGCCCTCCAAGTCAGTCATGGTGTCACCATTCTTTTTTGTTAAAAAGAAAGATGGCAAGTTGCAACCAGTCTAAGACTACCACAAACTTAACAAAATGATGATTAAAAATCATTATCCCCTACCTTTAATCTCTGACCTAATGAACAAGCTAAAGGGTGCCAAATATTTCACCAAGCTTGATATTAAATGGGGATACAACAATGTTTATATCAAGGATGGTGATGAGTTCAAAGTAGCCTTCTACACCAACTGGGGGTTATACAAACCCCTGGTTATGTTCTTTGGTCTCACCAATTTGCCTGCTACATTCCAATGGATGATGAATAATATCTTTAAAGATCTCATTGCTCAAGGAAAAGTGACCATTTATCTCAATGATATTCTCATTTTCACCAAAAGCAAAGATGAACACTGAAGAATTGTGCAAGAGGTACTACAAATTCTGTGCAGGAACAAATTGTTCCTGAAAGCAGAAAAATGTGAGTTCAAGGTACTCAAGATAGAATACCTTGGAGTCATCATCAGCAAAGGATCCATCAAGATCGCTGGAATCATGGAATGGTCAGAACCTTTTAAGAAACAAGAACTACAGTTGTTTTTTTTTTTTTTTTTTTTTTTGTTGAGGCTATTGCAGAGGCGGTCCGGCGACACAGTCGCTTCCAACATGCAGCCTGGAGAATTTGCCAGGATTTCAAACCAAGCATCGTTAGTGTTTCCGAGTTGATAAAAGATTGTTACCACGAGGAAATGCATTGCGCACAGATTAGTGTGGGACTCGGGACTTATCAAGTGGCTGGGCATCTTCTTCGAGCTTCTTTGCGCTGTCCCCTATACTTACCTTGCATGCCACAGCCACTATGATTCCATACCCACTAAAACCCCGCTTGCTTCTGTCCAGTCAGATGGAAGCTGATGCTCGTTCTGGAGGGACCCTGCCCATGTTCTCAGTACTATGTCTTTGGGGAGAGCCTTCTTGCCAAAATGTTTGTAAGTCATCAGGCGATCCAATTCTAGCTGTTTGTTTATCTTTTTCAGCCATCTGTTTCGGATCTGGTCAGGTGTGAAGGGACTGTTTTGTCGTCCAATCACTCTCTCGCAACGGGCATTCCATATGACTTGCACCGAAGAAGATATGATTATGCGGTAGAACCTCTCCTTACCGCTATCACATTTGCCATTCCGTCTTTTGAACACAGGCACCACACAGGTCTGGATCATGGCCATTGAGGGGGAATGCCATGGGATTTTTCGTTTTTCTAGTAGGGTCTTGGTGAGATCCCAGACTTCCTTCTGTCCCGGGGTGGTGCAGGATGTGAGGATGTGTTCCATGCTCTCCAGCACGCCACCACAATGTTCGCATTGAGCGTGCTCATGGTATTCCGGTGTGAAGTGTAACCATTTCTCACCAACTCTATAAGCTTCGTGGGTTAACATCCATAAGAAGTACCTTGTACCCTGGTCAATGTCTTTGTGTTGGAACAATCTCCACAGGGCTTCTGCTGTGGGCTTCTCCCCAAACACGTCTAGCCCTTCTAACATTGCTTTTTCCAGGTTCCTAGCTGTTTTGGGCCGGGGTTGGAGGTTACGAAGCTTACGTTCGTGCAGGGCTTTGTAGGCTCGGCTTTGGGTCATTTTGTTTAGCGCCGCTCCTGTTACTCTGATAGTTGGGTGAATTTCAAGGCTTATGGAGTCCACATCACTCTTCCAGGCTCCCTCATTTGCAAGACGGTCTGCCTCCTCATTTCCTTGGTGCCCATTGTGCCCTTTAACCCATTTCATAGTTGAGATTTGCTTCCGGCTGCAGAAGCTCGCCACCATCGCTTGGAGGATACCTCTGTTTGGGACTCCTATGTACCCAGAGTCTTCCATATGTCGGAGGGAGGACGTTAGATGTTTCAGGACATATTGTGAGTCTGTGTCTGTGTGCAGGATGGCTCTTTTGTTCACTGTTGCCGCAAGTTCTTTTGTCGCGACCGCTTCTCCTACTTGATTGGTCTGTGGGAGAGTGGCTGGCACCCGTAGGGCTATCTTTAGTGTCTCTTCTCCCTCCACGTAGATTCCAGTGCCTGCCTGTGCATTCGCAGTTCCATTGTCGATACAGGAACCATCTGTCACCGCCGTGATGATGGCAGTGTTTGAGGGTCCTATTCTCAGATCTGGTAGGTCGTTGCACACTCCTCCTTCCGTGAAGATCCTGAACAAGTTGGCTTGGTCGCCAGTAGTTGTTACTCTCCGGTCAAATTTGTATCCTTCCTCAAGTATTTTGGGGGCTTCTTCATAGTCTTTTGGAAGCATGAACCTTGGGTCCCACTTTGGTGGAAGTGTGTCCAATAATTCTTTGGCTCGGAGCATGCATTCATTTGGCTTTTCACAACCTAGGTTATCTGACATAGCTATGCATATATAGCATTGGCAAATTTCTCCCCGGCGAGAGTTGTTGTGATTTGGGTCATCGAGAAGGTCTGCGATCTCTTCGGCTTCACTAACAAGGCGTAGGTTGTGATTCTCCCGGAGGCAGATGCTTGCTGCTGACTTTGTCAGGAGTCTAATTCTGGGGTCCGCCTCTGAGTGATACCATATTGGTCTGTTTCGGATTAACTCTCTAGAGAAGGCGATGCCTTCTACCCGGACGCCCGTTTCCTTTGCAATGACGTACATTCTTTGCAGGTCACGTGGTAGGCTGGACTTTTTGGTTCCAAAGGATTGTAAGAAGATATTCTGCTTAACTTCGGGACTGATATTTCTTTCGGTACTCAGGCCTGTCTGGGCTATTATGTCATGCACAAAGAGTGTCCACGTCGGTTGTTCACTTGAGAGGAGTGATTTGACCCACATCGTTTCAATGGCTTTGTTGCATGTTCGGATGTCCAGGATGTCAAGGCCACCTTGGTCTCTCGGGCGCTTGAGTGTTTCCAGGTCAACTAAGTTCTTTGTTTTTCCTTCCCAAATGAACTTGCGTTCACGTTTTTCCAGTTTGTCCTCAATATGTTTCGGCATTCCTTGAACCGCTGTGAGGTATTGTGTTAGGCCTCCTATAACTGTCTGGATGATAATCCTATGGCCGGGAACTGAAGGGTGTGACATATCCCAACGGGCAAGACTCTGGTCGACTTTTTCGAGTACTGGCGCCCACGCTGTGTCTTCTGGAATGTTATTTCCAAACCATGCCCCGAGGATTCGGATAGCCTCGTTCTCTTCGACTATATGGATATTCTCAGGTATCTTTTCGAAGTCATCTTTGGATTTGCGGTGGTTGATCAAGTTTACTCAGAATTCCTTGTCTCCTATGGGGATGATCTTGGTCTTAGTCACATTAAAGCGTGCACCACTGGCCAGACACCATCTGTCCAGAAGTTTCACGAGGTCTTCAAAGTTGTCGTCCTCATGAAGAAATGTAGTTGTGTCGTCCGCAAAAAGGTTTGCGATCAATCTCTCTTCAGAGCCTGGAACTGACAGGCCTTTCAATCCAGATTGTCGGAGCATTTCTGCGAGAGGTTCTATGGCAAGGTCAAACAGTAGGCAGGACAGGGGGTCACCTTGGCGCACTCCTCGTGTGACGTTGAATGGTGAGCTAAGGTATCCGTTTACCATCACTCTTGTCTGAGCATGTTTGTACAGGGATTTGATAGTTGTGATAAATGGTGTTGGGATTTGGAAGGCTTCTAGGACCTTCCATAGATAATCATGATGGATCCTATCATATGCTTTTTCTTGGTCAAGAGCTACAATCAGACCATTTTGTTGTGTTAAATCGGCATGGTCTATTATCATACGGATAAGTTTTGTTTGGTTCGTTATCTGGCGCCCAGGGATAAAGCCTGCTTGGTTCTTGTGTGTGAGTTCCGGCGCAGCTTTGACCAGCTTTATAGACAATGCTTTTGTGAAGAGCTTGTATTCAGAGTTCAGCAGGGTTATGGGGCGGTAGTTCAACATCTTGTTTCGGTCGTTTTTCTTATAGATCGGGCACATCCAGCCCTCCGTGAATGCTGTTGTTTCATCCATACCAAATTCCTCTATGTCGTTGAAGACACAAGTGAGTAATCCGACTATATCAAAGGCTAATAGTCCTTTTCGCTCATCCTCTACGAACCTATCATTAAAGACTTTGAAGAATTTATTTGTCGCTCCATTTATTCCCGGAGCAGAGTCATTCTTGGACAAGTTCAGAGGCTTTATAATTTCTTCACGCTTCAGTTTCTCAATGAAGTGGAGTTTGTTCATCTCGGTAGGGGAGACTGTTATGTTATTGAGCAACTCATGGATCATATTTGCTCGTTCCTCCTCATTGATGTCGAGTCCTTCATTCTGGAGGGTCTCACCATGGAAGTCGCGCATCATCTCAGCCATCTTTGGGGAGTACCGCTCGTAAATAGGTTGGGGCTCTACAGGAGGACTTGCATCGGCTTGGTCAATGGCCGTGACAGGAGATACACTGTTGGGGATTTCAAGCGCGTGGATTACATCACGTGGTTTTGACTGTTTGTTAACTTGGAAGTAATATTTTGAGACTGTTTCTCCCTCTAGACAGTCTCTTGCTGCCACAAAACGGCGTGCAGTATCATGTTCCTCTCATTTAATATTTCGTAGCTCTGATTTCAGCCTTGCTAGCCTTTCTGATTGCTCCAGTTCAGATAAATCAGGGTTTCCTGGTGTGTTTTCTATTTCTTTCTCAATTTGAGATCTCTTTAGTTGGGATTGAACCTTCACGCTGCGTTCTCGTTCCCTGGCTAGTTCCATTGCAGCTGTTATGAACTTCTGGTACACTCTCTGGGGGTTCGAGGACTGAGTTCTTCCTGACCGTCTGATCTCAGTGATCTCATCTAGGGCATTTATTCCAAGCCTTTTCACCCCTTCGGCTAGCTGGTGGTCTTTAAGGATGCTGTCCAGGCAGGCCCATCTTCCTTTGCCAATCAATGGTGCTTCTTCATGCGCGATCTGTACTGAGACCATATCATGATCGACACCTGCTATACCTACTGGGCATATTTTCCATTGACGAGCATTCTCGAACAGATTGTCTGTAACATATATTCTGTCGATTCTGGATTGAAACACTTGGCATACCATTTCATTTGCTCCTTGGACTGGGACGCTTCGTGTGCAACGGAATGAGAAGTCTTTCCTGTCAGGATATGTTCTACACCATCCATCTCGAAGTCCAAGCAGTTCCTTGAGATTGTCAAAAGCTGTCAGTACGTCAGCGTGGTCTGCTCGCATAAGTAGCCGGTCTATTGGGTCCTCTACAAAATTCATGTCGCCACCCATGTAATCTGGCCACCACTCACGGTGGGCAGTAAAGAAGTTGAATAGAGTTTTGAAGAACTCTGCGGATTCTTTGGCATCCCTCTGTTTTACATTTGGAGTGTAAATGCCCAGGATGATGATCTCTTTTTCCCCGTACCACCTAGTTTTCAGAAGGATAGCTCGCCCCAGGATGATGACCTTAGTCTTGGTGTGGTGCCAGAGTGTGAGTTGTTTATTGATGACTATCGCTACTCCGCCTTTGCTCGTCGGGTTCTCTGGGTCAGCCGTGAAGACTATTTTCATTCTGCGTGCAAAGAGGTGCTCCAGATCATTCCGTCGCTGCTCTGTAAGGTGCGCTTCTGAGACTATAAGGATTCCAGTCCTCGACGTTCGTAGGAGTTGGTTGATATGACTCCATTTGCTATTCTGGATATTGTCTCCGGATCCCGAGCAGCTGAATCCGTTGATATTCAGACAAGAAACCATTATGGCTGCCTGGGTTTCTTTTCTGTTTTCTGCACGTCGAGATCGTCTGTTCCCTGAATATGCCCTAATGAAGGGGGTCTGGGTGGTTGTGGAGCTCGTTGGTCACAAGGTTGCACCTTGTGTGTTTGATTCACCATTCGAGAGAAGGCATGGCTCACTCTGTACTTGGTTCGTGGCATGGCCACTCTCGCTATTTGGTGTCTCGTCTAAGGGGGGACAAGAGTTGCACGAGTTTGCCGAGATGCTCGACTCACGCCTTTGACGATTGCGTCTCCGGCGTCTACCACCGTGGACTTGCGTGGTTTCTCTCAGGCCTGCACAGGGTGAGGGTTGAGAGGCAGTTGGCATGTTCCCATCATTGTCCGGGGGACCTTGCGACATTGGGTCTACCCCATTCTCCGGGAATTCTGAAACTGGTTCCCCACTGTTGCTACTCGCCCTACCGTCTTGCATGGAGGAATGACCAGTGGGTACGTCAGGGCCTCGACTAAGTAGAGCGAGACCATTACCGTAACCACCCACAGAATTGTTTGAAGTATTCCTGTTGTCCAAAACATTAGTAGCGCTGTTAGTTCACATACGGGTCTGCCAAACCACTTGTATGCTAGATGAATCCACTTGAAAGATATCTTCCCCGGTGAGAGGGAAGACCTTCCAAGCAGTGTAGGCTCCATCGGGTCCTGCTGGAGACTCTTTGTATTGCCTCTCCCCTCTCTGCAATCCGACTTACCTCCATATAAACCGTCAGTAATCTAAGAGGGGAGATGCTTCGGTGAGTGTTAGAAGGCTCTAACGGGCACATCACCTATCCAGTCTCACCACTGGTTCCGCTATCACAGGCTTGAGGCTCGTCCGAGATCAATCTAGCGGGTACATAAGGATCTCTATTGAAAGGTACGTGGTACATGAAACAGCATATAGGTGGTAAGCGAACTAGTGCTTTTTGCCACGCCGAACTACGCTCCATTCGTCGTCCTTGTTCTTTCCTTGCTTGGAGCGCCCTCCTGGCTTGGAGCTCCCCTCTTTCCGTTTCCGACCTGGGTCGTTGGGGGGTCCTGCTTTCATCATGCAAAGCCTTAGTTCATCAGCGGTGGGGCCATACCAGGCAGAGTCCACTCCTGGGAAGGGGCAAGCATGACTCGGATGGTTCTGGTTCTTACACCAGTCGCATCCTATGATCTTGTCAACGTTTAGCAACTGTTGGTAGTTGACTCGGACTCTGAGATTGCGAATATGGGTGGTGAGTGCTCTATGGAGATCCAAGTCATCCATAATGGGCTCTCCCATGAGTAGGAAGACTGGTCCTTTGTCGTCCTCGAGGTTCTTTGTCTCGACGTAGGTGAGGCGCCAGGACTGGGTCATCTTGACCGTGAGCTTGATTGGGTTCCCTGACTTGCCTTTTGCCTGGGTGATTCGTTTGACCAGGTTTTGGAGGGGCACGCTGCGCCACGCCTCCACTTTCAGGCAAGCTAGGGCTTCAGCTATAAGGGTCGCGTCGTTGCGGACGATGTTGCCTTGGAAAGCTGCGACGACCCATGCGAGAGCTTTGGGGTCAAACAGGACGAAATTCCAGACGATGCAGGAGGGGATGGCGAAGGTTTGTTGCCAGATGAGGTACTTCATGAAGTCCTCCGAAATACCAGTGACGACTAGTGGCCACGGTTTATCGAAGGCACTCTTCCTCTTTCGGCCCTCCTCGATGATCTTCCCTTTCTTCCCCACTTTTTCTTTGACTGGATAGAAGACCGTGATAGGGCCCTTGTCCGGAAAATCGAAACCGTCAAGGAACTCTTTGAGTAGGAGGTCGGCTCTGGGGTTGTCGGCGTACCATTTTGGTCCAGCACCATATGGGAGCCCTGCCATGAACTTGTCTGGAGAGTTGGCGATGGCCTTCCGGAGGTCTTCTGGGAACCCGGCAGTGAGGTGATTCCATGGGACATAGAGTTGGGGGTAGGCCATGTTGGTGAAAGGGGTGGCAGAGCCTGTCGGAAGAACAGAAGGGGTTTCACCAGAACAAGCAAGTTTATTGTATGGGAAAGGTTCGTCTGCAGTGGGTAGGCCGGTCGTGTTACGTGGGTCAGGGAGTTCGAACGGCATTGAGAGGAATTGATCAAAGGGGATGGGTCTGGGGGTCTTCCGACGAGCTTCATGGCTATCGTCTTCTTCGTTTTGGCTGTCGTCCTGTTTGACAGTGAGGGGAGGATAAGAAAAGAGGCGCAGCACGCACGTTGGGCCTAAACTGTCCTTCGTTCACCTTCTGCTTCTTTTTTGGCTGTTCTCCACCAGAGTGGGATGAGGGATCAGGACTTGTAGTGGAAGACAGGATGGCTAGGATTGGGGGGAGAGTAGTTTTAGAGGGCATTTATGCAAGGATCGAAGCTTATAAGTAGATCATTAGCCTTTGTTTGGGAGAACAATGTTGGCATTCTCTAAAGTGGTCACGAAAAGTTCTTTGTGGTTTGAGTGGCAGTCACGGAAAACAATCATGATAGGAGTGGCACATTCTCTGAGTTCGTCGAGGAGGGCTGAGGATGGCAATGGGAGCTTCAATGGGGATGCTGAGCGATGATGGAGGGAGGAATCAACGGACGACTCGGACCCGGGTGTCAGAATCTGCATGAGCAAAGATTCCCAATAGGGTGGCATCGCCAATGTGGGTTGTTGGTGTGGTTGTTGCCCTCAGACTGAGATAAGAACAGGATGATTTGGCTCGATGACTCTCGAGAAGATATACTTCAGTTTGGGCAAATTTCGAGAGAGAACTGGGTGGCAGAGTACTGGAGCACGTCGACTAGCTACTACAGGGAGGTAGCTAGTGGCTCAGACCAAGATTCCTGGTACGTTTCAAGACTGAGAAACGTTTCTCTCGACCAGTGAAGGTGCGAGAGCGACTTATTATCCTATCCGACTCTACATCAAATAGAATCCCTTGAGCCAGACTTGCAGTGGCTAGGCGCCAAACCCCACATGGTGGTGGTTCTTGATCAAGGGTCCCCCACTACAGTTGTTCTTGGGGTTCACCAACTTCTACAGGAGATTTATCCGGCACTACAGCAAGATTGTCAAGCCCATGATGATGCTTACAGGAAAGGTCCAGTGGACCTGGGGAAGAGCACAACAGGAGGCATTTGATGAACTCAAATGCCAGTTTGCAGCAGGAGTTGTATTGGCAATGCCAAATGACTACAACAAATTTCATGTAGAAGTGGATTCCAGTGAAGAAGCAATTGGTGCCATTCTATCCCAAGAACAAGAAGGGAAATGGTGATCAGTCATGTTCCTGTCGAAATCCCTTTCAACAACAGAGCACAACTATGAAATCTACACCATAAAAAATGACATACTACCATCAGGCCTAGTAACTACAACAAACAAATAGAAGACTCTTACCCTAGCAGCAATCCATTATAATGTATCCAATCAGTTGTGTCACTTATTAGGCTACCTGATATAGGTCCCTTTGCATTGTTATGCAAAATAATACTCTTAGAAATGGATTGCAATATCTGCTATCCTTTGCAATATAAGCCAAGAATTATAGCCATTACATGACTTTATCTCTCTTAATATGGATTGTGGAAAAAAAGGCCGTTATGAAGAATACCAGTCTAAAAATCTGCTTGAACCAGCATCACACCATGGCACAGCAGCACAGATCATCACATTGCCCAGATAAAATGTCCATACCAGGAATTAAACTAAGGCTAAACAGAGTTCAACCATTCAGACAATATAACCACTATACCAAGATAACTTATTTATCTATGCTCTACTGGTGTACTCATAGCACGTCTCGCTGGCATTTATTTGGTAATTGCCCTATGCAGTTGGCTACTCATTTGCTCACTGATATGCTCACGCATTCCTCCATCCCCAAATTGTCACCCTCCAGTTGCCCCACCCCTGGGCTGATCTTCTCCATCTGCAGCCACCATGGAATCTTGGGTTGCTCATCATTGTTTCTTCCACAAGAGATGTTTTTGAGCATTTGGTAGTGAATGTCATTCAATGTGGAAGCAGAAGAGATGTTGGTTCTTGACCAAGTGTTGCTGGTGCTTGTAGACTGTGACACTTCCCAATACCAAGTGTTCTGTGTAACAGTAGATGGATATGGCTTGTCTGTGAGGAAAGAAGGATGGAGGCAAAGGAGTGCACTCACTGATGGTTTATGTTGTGAGCAGGCTAGATATTTAGCAGTGTATGCACTGTTATAGTTGCATCTACTTCTGCCAAAGTCATCAGTCTAAACTTGGAGGTCTCCTCTGTGACTACATCCTTGATGTACAATGAATGTCAATGAACTCGAGGACTGCATCTGAATAAGAGTATTTTGTCAGTTCATTGTGTTTGAATGCAATCAATACTGTGGACTATGTGTTTCTTCATTGTTGCTTCTTAGAGATACATTGTGATGAAGAAATAAAAGGCAGAAGCAGACATAATAAGGCAAGTTATGAAGTCCAGAAGAATGTCAGATGTTCTCATGCCACACTTCTTTCTCAATGACTTTTATGATACCCCACCACCATTTTTGAACCTTTGCTGAGACATGATGCAATTGCAAGGATTGACGATTTGAATGGCTAGTATTAGGATATGATTCGATTCTTTGAGTGTGTCCAATACTATTTGTGTTGACCAATGATTTAATATGCATTCAGATACTGCAGATATCCACATTGAAATTGCCTGCTTCAATCTCACTACATCTGCATAGGGACTCTGCAACTAGTATTGTTTGGGTCTAGTGCACTTCTTAACTCATTCAGAATCTTAAACTCATTTCTATCTAGATGTGGTTGTGTAGGCTGTCACCA